TTGGAAAATCACCCCCCCCTGAAAAATTTTCCTCGCACACTACTGATCAAAAGTGGTATGGGGTGAAAATAGAAAAGGAACGAAATAGAAGAGGTGTGGCCATAAAAAGCTTGTTACCCGTACGGTTTTGTTACCTATAATATTTGATTGAATGGTGTCTTTAAATCTAGATTTGATCCATAATTAGATCCATAGATATCTATGGATTTTTTACAATTTTTTTCAAATATTCACCTACTGACATGTATTTTACTATGAGTACTACTTCAAAAAGTCACATTCATGATTTTGGTCTCTCACACTTAAATATATTCACACGTTTAAAATTCCATTATTTTTTTCACTCAACAAAAAAATTAGTTTATTTTAAAAATAATTGCTGTTTATTCAGCAAAATTTGTACGTTTTTTAATGCTAGCAAAATACAGTAAAATCAATCAACGGTGGTTCCTTTTAATTGGACCTTCTACAGTAGAAGTTCTACTATAGAAGAAATATTTTTATAACACGAAAAAGTCGACACCCCCCCATTGATGTTACTGTAATTTTGTGATGGAATTTTGTACTGTTTCAGTCAATGACAATAACATTGTCATCATCAATATCTTCAGAAAATCGACGTTTTTCTATTTTAAATAATTCGAATTGGTCATCGTCGCTATTTTCGTTAGTTGAAAATTCAAATGTGGCATCTCCATTGAATTCCTCTTTCACAGTCGTGGTGCTATTTGAGCTGCTACCAATCGAAATGGTTGGGTTGTCCCTTGTGCTGCGATATTCAGACAGACCCGGTATCAACTGCGCAATATAGTGATCAAGTTGGGCGGGATTAAAATAGGTTTTTGTATCAGCATAACGAAACGAGCCAAATTTATTTCTGATATTTTTAATATATTCATCAGCTTCCTGGAAAATTTCCAAATAAACGATATAAAAAAATAACAGTACGAAAAAATTGAATGTCTTTTATAGGTCTTACCTTTATTGCATCATCATAGTCATCCAATGGATTTGTAATGCGGCTTGGATTCGATTCCGAGTAAAAAAAGCAATTGTAGACAGATACTTCAGTTTGCGTATGGTCTCCAAAAAATTGAACCATCACTTTGTGCTCCTCAGCACTCAAAACTTTTGCCGGCCAATAATTCGAGCCCAACTTTTTCGCCCTAGTGACATGTATTTTACCATGAGTATACTCTTTTTACTTCAATATTCATGTTTTTTTTTCTCACCAGCATGGTAAATGAGGCTCCTCGCATACCAATGTAAACCAATGGTCCGGATATTTGTTGAAATTTTGGTAACATTGAAAACACTTTTGAACCATTTGTCTTTCGGCGCTTATTAAATTCAACACTGAGCGAGCTGCTATTGTTTTCTCGTTATTTTCTAAAATCAAAGAGAGAAAAAAATCTCGACAAAATCTGTTCCTCGATTTTATTTCGAGAGAATGGCACCAACTAACCTGTATACAAAATCACACAATTGTGTACAATCCAACAAATGTCAACATAGAATTCATTGAAACTAGTATAGAGTTTTGTCTTGTCTTTAACGGTGGTCAAATCAATTGGATGGATGATTTGCTTGTTTGACGGGTCGGCCAATGGATGTTTTAACACATCGAACTAAAATCACAGCAAAGTAATAATTTCAATCGTATCCAGGCCCAGGGAAAATCGCACTTATCTTACCGATTCATCTCGCCAAATTCGATCAATGAAAATAGCCAACATTTCCGTATCTTGTCCACTAATCGATAAATATTGAAAATAGTATTTGTGTGCAGGAAAAGAGCTTGAATTTAAAATCGGTCAAGTTACCTATATACAGTAGCATTTAAAATTGTACACACCGGACATTGCCAAGCAAATCTTTCGGCATTTTCTACATCAACTGGTGTAACGCATTTTTTGTGGAAGGATCGAACGCAGTTCGAACACTTTAATCTCGTTCTATACTCACAACATCGCCAACAATACTGGTCGTGCGTTTTCTGGAATAGAAATAATACAATGGAATTATTTTTGGAGCATTTTTGGTTTTCTTTATGGTTTTCTGGTGATTTTAGTGAGCTTCACGAAATTGAATAGAGAATACCTTTCTGCCTGTCATTTGTTGAAAGACTAACACGTCTATCGTAAGATTAGAAATCGTATATTTTAATAATTTTTCACGCCTTAATTATTTTTTCCGGCTTCTTTCGATTATTTTAAAGACCAACAATACCACTGAATGTGCGTGACGAGAGGGTGCCTGTGTACGGTCTATTATGGAAAATGCAAATCGAATGGCGTTCGTGTGAAAAATGGCTTCAATTGCTGACTTATTAATTTGATGAATTACAAACACCTTCGGTAGTCAATCACTTTGTACCTGCCGTTACTAATGACTTGAGGCTATGTATCAAGGTAACGAACAAATTACAAGGGTAGTAATGAACTGTTGTTTTTATACAAATTACAAACTGAACTACAAGCGACCAAAAATGTATGGCTTTAATCGATGCTATTCCATTCGCTATAGCCATTCAACTAAACTGAACAGAAATATTCATCTGAATCGTCGGATTGCCGTTAAAAAAATTTTTTTGGGGGGAGCATATCCCCTCTACTTTGCTCTTTCGATTAAATCGAACATGCTCAAAATTGTATAAATGTTGGCCCCTTTTCTCTTATTGTATTCTCTAATTCCCATCTGTCATTATTTAAATCTCGAGCTCTTATCATCGATGGTTTATCAAAACGAGTTTTTAAATCAAAATTCAGAAGGGAAATCCAAATCAAATACCAAATCGTATTTTACCTCAATAAATAATGAAGCATTTGTGGTGTCATTATTCTCTCCATGATTTGAATCAACATAAAGAAATCGTTTTGCATTTGGTTCTCCATAATTTTCAATCACATCTTCGATTTGAATATCAATCGATTCGGTTTCCGATGTATCTCCTTGACTCTGCATGGAATCAGATGTGTCCGAGTATTCGAGTGCCTGCATCGAATCAACGTCCATTCTCTCTAACAAATTTTGTTCGCCAAGCGTTGGTATCATATCGGTTAAATAACACTCAACCATTTCTGGATTCAATAATGTCCTTGCTTTGGGTAATTCTACATATCCAAATTTCGCACGAAGATTATCAATGTATTCGGCGGCCTCCTAATAAACGAATAAAAATAAATTACTTCGATAAAGAACCAAATTTAAAAAAAAAAAATTCCTTACATTCAGAGCTCGATTGTAAAGATTTATATAAAGATCATTCGTCTTGCATGGTCCATCTGGATTGCTTTCGGAGTATAAGTAGCAATTGAAAGCGGGCACGTCATTGTATGTGTAATCGCCGAAGAAACGTACATTCACCAGGTTTTCATTTATTGACATAAGCTTCGCTGGCCAGTAGATGTATCCTTTAAGCTTGGCCCAGATTGGGAGGTGCACACGGGAGCAGATTAATTTAAACCAATTTTTCTGACCACTGATTAGAGACTTATAGCAATCATTACATGTTCTCATCACATTTCTCAGACCTTCGATTTCGTCGTTCACGTATTCAAGTAATAAACGAGCCGTTTTGGTCTTGGAATTGGTATCTAATGGCGAAGAGAAGAATTTTGATTTTTTTTTAGTTGGAATTAAGTAGAAACAGTGGCACCTTCTGGAGTGTATGTGGAAAAATTACTCAATGGTATGGAGTTGGCGCTCTTATAAATTAACCCTCCTGTGTAAAGAACAAAAAACGGAACAATAGTCGAAAATATATGAAAATAGTTGACAGAAGCAAAAAGTTCTGTGATGGGTCTAATGAACCTTTACTATCTGCAGGAGGGTTAAACGGGATCTTAGTAAATTGATCGATTTTATATTGAATTATTTGGTACAAAAATACCACCTTTACCAGTAATTTATTTCCCAAGTGATTGTACAGTATACACTCTCTATCTGAAATATACTAAACAGTACTCCCATTTAAAATATATTTTGCAGCTCTTTTGTATTTTTTCAGAGAGAGAGTGTACATAAAAACCAAGCCAATCATATACGTACCTGAGTATGCGATGGCACAGTTGTGTTCAATCCATTGAACGTCGACACGGAATTCAACTAAAGTCTTGTACGCATTGCGATCAAACTCAATTTTATCCTCAATGACTTTCAAATTAATCGGATTTACCAAAACTCGGACTGTCTTTAGAGGCTGCTTCAATGGGTTGAACTGTGATTTTGGGAATTGATAATTAAAGGGTCGATTGAAAAAAATTCATATAAATATTCACTGCTTCGAAACCTACGATTTTGTTTTCGGACACATGTCTCATAACCATTGACAGAATGCTCAAATCGCTTAGCCTGCAAAAAAAAAAACAACAAAAATTGTACTTAATGTGTCGGACTAGTGGGTCACCACAACACTTGAAAAAAAATTGATTCTCGTTAGTCAAATATCAGAAGCTGTTTCTCAGGGCAATATTCGTCAGAAGGAGTGTTCCGAAGAGATGGAGAGCCGGGAGAGCACCAGGGCGCAAAGTATTTAAATAAAAAAAACTTAAAATTATTTATGATTTTAGACATTTTTTACTTTTAGTATTTTGGTCCTAATGCTCCTCTGGTGAGCGCTACTCCGCATATATGCACTGAGAAACAGTTTCTGAGAGAATTATTTGTTTTAGTGACCAAATATAAACAATTTAATTTCAGTTCGCTGAAGTGTCAACTTGTTACCATTTTCATGAGACTAAAAGCGAGACAACAGAATATCGAATTTGTATTCATGGCACCTCAGCTGTCAATACTATAGTTGACATCTTTCCTAGAAGAAATACACAAATGCTGAACACCAAAAAATTCACATTTTGATGACATTCTCTTCTTTTATAGCAAAACAATTTTTCCCGCCATTTGATGGTGCCCTTTTGCGTCTCACAATATATTCTTCAATTCCATCTTTCCGCAATTCGTTAACGTCACTTTCTTAGTCTTACAACAAAAATTCTAATACTTACTTGTCATTGCGTTCGGCTGCTATTAGTTCTTTGCACACCGGACACAGCCATTCGCCACATTCAATGTATTTTCGTTCGCTCCTGACAAGACAGCCGGCATGAAAAGATCGCACACAATTTGTACACTGTGCATTTTCGGCGTCAATGGATAAATTCACTTCAGTGCCGCATTTCCAACAGTATGGATCGTGTATAGCCTTGTCAATAACCAACCATAAAAAATGACACATAAAAAATAGTGCGCAGTAAAAAACGCATGATTTATTTATTTATCAGTGTTTGATGGCACGGTGGAAATTGAGCACTTTAAACACAACTTTTTTTGTAAAAAAAAACTAAACAGAAACTATGCCCCGTTTAAAAAAAATAGTGGAATTTTATTTTACCTCCAAACAATCCATGGTTTGTTTTCGCTTGTCGCCGTTGTTGAGATACGTTGAACTGATCAACAGTTGTACTGGTTGTTGTTGTTCAGACAACTGTCACTGTCCATTGTGCATATTGAACCGCGCACACACACATTTTGACACTTGACATTGCTGTATTGTACATTTAATCAAAATACATTCATTTTGGCGAGTTGGTCTAATTTTTTTGGATAAAAAGTAACAAAATTTAATTGATAGTGACTTGGTGATTATCATTTAAATCTTCTGGAAAATCATTAAAATGTCAAAATATTGTATTTTATTCCAGAATTTATTTTTTTACAACTAACCTAAACGTTCTGTGTTGGAATACAGTGGGTACGTATTGATTGATTTTTGAACACATTTTTATATCGGTTTTTGAACAAAAAAAATATTGAAACTTGTCCCTTTCATCTTTAGCATCGCGATTATAAACCAAAAAAACAGTAGTTTAATGGACAGTACTTGTGATACGAACCAAGCATTTGTTCTTCAGAAAATGTCCAAT